GGCAATCCACTCACCTCAGCCTCCCAAAGGTGCAGGATTACAGGCTGTGCCACCGAGCCCGGCTAGGGGCAGACCATTTCAGCATGTAAATCCAGGACCGTCTAATCAGACCATCGTGGGCCGCCTCTCCTAGAACTTGTTAGACACCAAGTCTATCCCTGGCAGGTTAGGGACAGGGTGAGTGCACCCCCCAGGTCACATGAGCCAACATGGTGAGAGAAGAGCCAGCCCCCTGCAAGAGGGGTGAACACTGCTTTCTCCTATCCGTCTGGGATAACTTGCCGCTTACTCCCTTCCCCAGAGTGCATGCCTGAGTCCTTCCTGCACAAGGACACGTGCCATCAGTCCTGCCCCCAAGGCTTCTACGCAGACTCACGCCACTGTGTCCCCTGCCACACAGACTGTATGGAATGCAACGGCCCCTCAGCCGACGACTGCGAACTCTGCCTTGAGGCCTCCTTGGTCCTCTATAATGGGCTGTGCTTGGACGAGTGTCCAGCGGGGACTTACCAGGACAAAGGGACTAATGACTGCAGAGGTAAGGACTTCTGGAATTCACGGCTAAGCACAGCATCCCTGGGAGACTAAGGAGATGGGTTTCTCCCCACACGTCATAGGCTCTCGGGTGTGCCCAGTTCCAGTTCCACCCTTTACCCTCCCACCCAAGGAAGCATCTTTTGGTAGATCTGGGGCCAGACCTGGAATCTGCATTTTATTCTATCCTATTTCAGTTGAGTCGAAGCCTCGCTTTGTCACCCAGGCTGGAGTACAGTGGGCCCTCTCACAGCCACTGCAGCCTCCGTCTGTTGGCCTTAGCCTTCCAAGCAAGCTGGAACCACAGGCTTAGGCTACCACGCCCAGATAATTTTTTTTTGATTTATTGTAGAGACGAGGTCTCACCAGTTTGCCCAGGCTGGACTCGAACCCCTGAACTCAAACAACCCTCTCGCCTCCACCTTGCAAAGTGCTAGGATGACAGGTGTGAGCCACTGTGCCCAGCGTGCATTTTATTTTTTTGGGGTCGGGTCTCATTCTGTTTCCCAGGTAGGAATGCACTGGCACAATCATGGCTCACTGCAGCCTCGAGCTCTTGGGTTCAAGCGATCTTTCTTCCTCAGCCTCCTAAGTAGCTGGGACTACTGGCATGTGCCACCACATTCGGCTAATTGTTTGATTTTTTTTTTTTGTAGAGACAGGGTCTTTCTCTGCTGCTCAGGGTGGTCTTGAACTCCAGGGCTCAAGCAATCCTCCCACCTCAGCTTCCCAAAGTGCTGGGATTATAGGCCTGGAAGCATATTTTGAATCAATTCTAATTAATTTTTAAATCAATCATTCATAAGCTTTGATCACATAACTTTTATTAGTAAAAAATCATGTGGCCCCTTCTCACCCCAGTGGCTATGAACTTCTGATCAAAAAAATTTTCATGTGAAAATCTACAACTGACCAGGAATGGTGGCTCATACCTGTAATCCCAGAATTTTGGAAGGCCAAGGCAGAAGAATCACTTGAGCCCAGGAATTTGAGGCTACAGTGAGCTATGATCCCACCACTATCTTCCAGCCTGGGTGACAGAGTGAGGCCTTGTCTCTAAAAATAAAAATAGGGTCTGGCACAGCGGCACACGTCTGTAATCCCAGAGCTTTGGGAGGCTCAGGTGAGAGACTTCCCTGAGCCCGCGGGCTCGAGACCAACCTGGGCAACTTGGCGAGACCTCGTCTCTACAATAAATCAAAAAATTAGCCAGTCGGGGTGGCAAATACCTGTAGTTTCAGCTACTTGGAATGCTGAGGCAGAAGGATTGCCTGAACCCAGCAGGTCAAAGCTTCAAGGCTACCATGGCCGTGAGCATGCCACTGCATTCCAGCCTGGGTGACAGAGTAAGACTTCTACTTTAAATAAGTAAGTAAATTAATTAATTAATAAATAAATAAATAAAAATAGAAAGCCAGACATGGTGGCTCACACCTGTAATCTCAGCACTTTTGGAGGTCAAAGTGGGAGAATTGCTTGAGCCCAGGAGTTCAAGACCAGTTGGGCAACATAATGACACCTCTTCTCTATAAAAATTTTATAAAATGAGCCAGACATGGTGGCGCAAGCCTGTAGTCCCAGCTACTTGGGAGGCTGAGGTAGAAAGATTGCCTGAGCCTAGGAGGTGGGGTTCGTGGAGATCCGTGATCATGCCACTGAACTCCAGCCTGGGAGACAGAGTCAGACACTGACTCAGAAAAAAAAAAAATTTACAACAGAGATGATGAGCCTTCAGAAGTCACCCAAAATGGAATATTTGTCCTAAAATGCTCAGCTATTATAGCTTTCTAGCAAAAGGGAACTGCGCTATCTATGGAGGACTTTCTCAGCACCTCTTGTCTCCCCTATGGTTCACCGCCGCAACGTTCCCCTCCTTTCTCCTCACTGTCAGCTCCTCCCACTCGGCACTTCAGTCCCTACACAGTCAAAAAAGGATCAGCTATTCCTTACACCTCCTCTTTTTTTTCTGAGTCAGGGTGTCACTCTGTCACCCAGGCTGGAGTGCAGTGGCACAATCACGGCTCGCTGCAGCCTCAACCTCCTGATTTCAGACGATCCTTCCACCTTAGCTTCCCGAGTAGCTAGAGACTACAAGTGTGTGCCACCATGCTTGGCTAACTTTTTACATATTTTGGGGGAGAGACAAGGTCTTGCTATGGTGCCCAGGCTGGCCTCAGACTCCTGGGCTCAAGCAATCCTCCTACCTTGGCTTCCTAAAGTGCTGGTATTACAGATGTGAGCCACAGCGCTCGGCCTCATGTTTTAACTGGGCAGGAATGCTTGCCTCTTATTAGGTACCAGGGAACAAAAAAATAAATTGTCCTTCACTAGAGGAGTTCTCAAGCAAGTGAGAAAAGCATTCTGGGAGAAGGTAAGGTGCTTTTCCAAAGCCCCAGGATCCACTCCATCCAGGCAGCCAGGGATAACCCATCCCCATAACCACCAAACGCAAGATAGATGTGCACAGGCAGTCCCCTAACCACGAAGAGGGCTGGAATGTGACCTTTCTTTCTTTTGTGTGTGTGTGTGTTTTTTGTTTTTGAGTAAGAATCTCACTCCGTTGCCTAGGCTGAAGTGCAGTGGCATGCTCACGGCCACCGCGGCCTCAGTCTGCTGGGTTCAGGCGATCCTTCCGCTTCAGCCTTCCAAGTAGCTGTAACTACAGGCATGAGCCACCACACCTGGCTATTTTTTTTTTTTGATTCATTGTAGAGATGAAGTCCTGCCAAGTTGTCCAGGCTGGTCTTGAACCCATGGACCTCAGGCAGTCCTCTCGCCTCCGCCTCCCAAAGTGCTGGGATTACAGGTGTGAGCCACCGTGCCTGGCCAGAGGGTGACCTTTCATTGAGAAACCTTGGGCCAGTCACACCCTAGAATGCACTCAGGGGAAGGTTTTTAATAGAATGGGAAGATGTGTCTCACTCCTGAAGGCTTTCTGCTCCAGACTTATGATCTGGGTATACCTTTTTGTGTGTTTTCTATAAAGCACCGCTTAGTGCCAGTGACCCATCTGTTTATTTGTGAAAGAACACGGACTTCAAAGTGGGCATCAGGCCAGGCTCGGTGGCTCAGCCTGTAATCCCAGCGCTTTGGGAGGCCGAGGTGAGTGGATTGCCTGAGCCCACGGGTTCGAGACCCGCCTGGGCAACTTGGCGAGACCTCATCTCTACAACAAATCAAAAAAATTAGCCAGATGTGGTAGCTCATGCTTGTAGTTCCAGCTCCTTGGAAGGCTGAGGCGGAAGGATCGCCGGAGTCCAGCAGGTTGAGGCTGCAGTGGCTGGGAGTGGCCACTGCACTCCAGTCTGGGTGAGAGTGAGACTCCAGCTGAAAAAAACAAAAACAAAAAACAAAGTGGGCATCAGTACCTGCTTATGGGGGGAAGGGGTGATGGGGGAGAGTGGACATTAGCATGGGAGGCAGGTGGGGGATAAGCTTCTGGAAGGAGTTTCGAGACTCAGCCCCAGGGTTTCAGCACCATCTTGCCTATACTAGGCCGAAACTGAGGTTTGACTTCTGGCCTTCCTCTGGTGTTCAATAATAAAAGTAATTTGCCATGCAGAGAGCTTTACAAGTCTCAAAGTATGTCTTCTTAATTTATCTGATGTGGCCAGGCCCAGTGGCTCACACTTGTAATGCCAGCACTTTGAGAGGCTGAGGTGGGAGGAACGCTTGAGCCCAGGAGTTCATGACCAGCCTACACAACGTAGCGAGACCTCATCTCTACAACAATCAAAAAATTAGCTGGGTGTGGTGGTGCGCACCTATAGTCCCAGCTACTTGAGAGGCTGAGGTGGGAGGATTGCCTGAGCCTAGGAGGTTAAGCCTGTGGTGAGCTGTGATTGTGCCACTGTATTCCAGACTATGCAACAGAGTTGGACTCCAACTTAAAAGTAAATAAATAATTGAAAATCAACAAGAAAAGAAGCAGTTGGGCATGGTGGCTCATGCCCATAATCCCAGCACTTTGGGAGGCTGAGGTGAGAGGATTGCATGAGCTCACGAGTTCGAGACCAACCTGGCAACTTGACAAGAACTCATCTCTGCAATAAAACAAAAAATTAGTTGGGCGTGATGGCACACACCTATAGTTCCAGCTATTCAGAAGGCTGAGGTAGAAGGATCTCCTGAGCCCAGTAGGTCGCGGCTGTGGTGGCCGTGAGCGTGTCACTGCACTCCAGCCTGGGTGACAGAGTATGACTCACTCAAAAAAAAAGAAAAAGAAAAGAAAAGAAATATTTACTGAGTGCCTGATATATGCCGGGTCTTTCCATAGACACTGTGCTTCCAAAACTAAATATAGAAGAGGCCTTTTTGGTCAGTGGGCAATTGTAATATATGTATTACAACAATTGTAGTATTAGTGATAGGCTCAAGGCATTCTGGAAGGTGAGGGAGAGCCATAGCAATAGAGGCCTTACGAGGGTTCTAAAGGCCACCAGCTAGCATAGGCCTCTGCAGAATGACTTGTTAGTCTTTTGTTGCTGTTTGGATAATCACGGGGAGACTTGCTGATATTTCTGAGTTGGCTGTTCAAGGAAGATGCTTCCTGGATATTACAGAGAAAGAAAAACAGCCATTTCCTCTCATTTTGTAACAAGAGGGCTCCACCCCAAAGCCCACAGCCTGTACCCAACTCATGGCCCCACAGAGCTCTAGAAATCCCCAGACACAATGTGGAAGGAGTGTGACACCCTTTTCAAGGGACAGCGTTTCCTCAAGGGCACCCTGACCTTCTCTCACTCTCGGTCTGCTGCCGCCACCATGCCCACAGACTGCCACAAGTCCTGTGTGACCTGCTCGTCGGCTGGGACCTGCACCACCTGTCGGGAAGGCCTGAGGCGGAATCACCACGGGGGCTGTGATGCCCACAAGGAATGTGCCCCCTCCGAGTACTGGGATGCGGAGGCTCCGGGCTGCAAGCCCTGCCACCCTAAGTGCCTGCACTGCACGGGGCCCGCCCAGGATCAGTGTCACACTTGCCCGAGGCCCAGCCTTCTTCTCAGTGAGTGACTTCTCCTCCAGGGAGGGTTTTGTGCTTCTCTCTCCCCAGGAAACTGCCTTGTACCAAGATGCCCAGTGCCCGGCCGATATTGACTTCTTTCTTTTTAGTGTTTTGCTTTGTGTCCGGGACAGTTTCAAACCTGCAGAATAGACGCAAGAGTGAGAACCATCCAAGGAACAGAACCCAGAGGCCCTTTATCCAGGTCACACATCACTAGTCTTTTCCCCACTGGCTTTATCATTTGTGTGTGTGCTCTCTGTCTTCCTCTCATTCTCTTCCCCCCGCCCCGCATGTATATGTATACACAAGCCACAGTATTTTTTGTACACACGAAATTTTTATGTATACACAATCCACAATATTTTTTTCTAAGCCATTTGCGGGCAAGTTACCTGCATCATGGTCCTGTCCCCACTAAAGTATTACTTTAGTACGTATTTCCTAAGAATAGGGATACTTTCTTTTTTTTTTTTTTTTTTTTTTTTTTTT